TGTGTGAGGCTTAATCCCTTGTAGGATGTAAAGAAGCTCCCAGCGCATGCCTTGCATACATGCTTCAACTGCAGAAATTTCAAACAAATGATCTTTGCAGTCAAGACTCAGAGCATGCCAACGGTTGATGTAGTTAACCACAGGTTCACGCTTCATTTGTTTTATGTTTGTAAGCTCCAGCATACTTATAATACATTGAGTGCTGTAGAAACGATTGAGAAATTCTCGTTCCATCTACTCCCAACTGTCAATACCTCTAGCTTTGAGGTCTGTGTACCAATCAAATGCATTCCTTTTGAGGGAGCGAACAAATTGCTTGACAATGAGATCTCCGTCTGTACCAGCATTGCCGCAAGTTTCTACAAAGTGTGCGACGTGTTGCTTGGGATTGCCTTTTCCGTCAAACTGTTGAAGCTTTGGAGGTTGATACCCAACCGGCATTTTTAAGATGTCAATTCTTTCTGTGTATGTCTTTGAGTACATGCGAGCACTTTGAGGAACGCCACTATATTGTTCTCTTATGCAATTCACTATTATGTCTTGAAGTTGTTGGATAGAAAGTAAGGTGACGGAGGCAGCATCAATTGTTGGATTGATGGACACATCATTTTGATCATCAATTGGAGTGTTCTTTGGCATGAAATTAGAATGAGGAATTGGGCCTTTGCTTGACTCAGCATTGTCGTCACGCAATTTTAACTTTTTTGTTAGCGAGACAATTTTCAGATCTTGTTCCTTGAGAAAGTGTTGTAATCTTTCAATTGCACGGGCCATAGTCATCAATTGCTCTTCGTACGAGGTAGTACTCATCACCATGACTGGCATAGTGACGGAGTCAGAAAAAATCTTTGACCTTGAGTGGATCAGCCTTGAACTTGAACTTAATTATGACTGGAGCAACCTTTGAGGTTGTAGGAACCTTCCTCCTTGCCCCCAATGAGGTGAATGCAGTATAAGTTTGAGTGATGAATTTGTAGAGGATTTGATGTAAGAGAAAGAGATGAGAGGCAGAGGAGGTCTCACCAGGCGTGCCAAAAATTTGTACACACAAATTTTGTAGTCTGCATAAGAACAAAATATGAAACAAATAATAATATTTTATTAAATTGGAAAAATTGGAGTACAATCTTCTGTAATATTCTTTATAAAGAATAAGGTCCTCTAATTCGATCTCCTTTTTTTGTTGGTTGGATCTAAGGGCTACACGAGCTTGATCTTGAATCACCGTGGAATTTAGATGAAGAACGTCACGATTTGATGTGCTTGTTGTTGATCACCGTAAAATTTGATTAAGAACGACACGATTTGATATGATTGTTGTTCTTCGCTTTTGGGTAGAGTTTCTGTATTTCTCTCTGGAATTGTGGTTTCTGAATTCTGAATTTTGTGTTTGAATTTCTGGACCTTCGGATTTTTGAGTTTCTCAATTTAGATATTTAAGTCTCTCAATTTCTGGACCCTCTGGATTTTCTGAATTTGTGTACCTTCCTTCTTCCTCAAAGCTTCTATTTATAGGCTTCTTGGATTAATAGGATGATGACACGTGTCATCTCCTGATAAGGATAATTATAACTGGGCCGGGCCGGTTATATTATGATAATTATCCTTAAAAATAACTATTCCAAATATATTTTATTAGGAATAATTATCTTTTCATTTATGATACCCCTCGGATCCGAGACACGGGTTGATCAGGCCCAGGCCCAAACCCGAGGGAATACAAAATGAATTAAGAAATGAAATTGAAGCTAAAAGGAATTAAAAATAGAATCCGCAAAATATTATAATTATTAAAATCCATCAAACACAAATTCCAAAACTCCATCAGTTTACAACTCGAGAATCCATCTCTAGTGGACCCCTATTAAACATCCAGACTGAAATAAAACAACTGTAATAAACATTCAGAAATAAACTATGGAGAGAATCCTACATCGTCGGAGGAGTGAATAAAGACCTCTGCTCAGCACGAACACGTCTAAGCCTGGAACTGTCGTGTACCTGAAAAATAGAAGTGGGTCAGGCCCACATGCAAGTTCTATACTATTACAATCCAAACAGAGGCCCGATACGTATGTACATCCTAAACAATTCAACAATAGCTAATAGTCCGTAAATAAATATATAGTCACACTAAAGGACTCTCACTAGACTACAGGCCGGTCTCAACCTGAATAGAGGTAACATGCTAAAACACACACAAAGTGGGCATATGTACCTATACCTAAACAGGGTACACCTTTAACCATCGTATCCAGCTATGCACCCCAATGCATATACGCTCCCTAACCGTCGATCCTGAGACTCAAGCTCATATTGAGGTATCATAACAATATATTTAAAGTCCATCCTGAATCCTAGTAGTGCCGCTCAACTAGTCGTTGCCATGACACTACAATTAATAGGACTTAACTTTTAGTTAATCCAATTCTTAATCCAGAGTAGGTAGGTTTTGGTATTTTGAAACCAAACCATCCCTAGCATACCACCGTCTCATACCGGTGTATACTATCCAATCATCCAGCAGTTGATAATATCAACAATTAAAGTAAACATCAGCTAAATCCATATTTCCATCACTGATACTAACAAGCATAGTGTAAGCATCAATAAAAAGAATCAGATATATACATAAACAGATTCAGTTTTATATCCAACACTGATACTAACAGACATAATGTAAGCATCAAGAATCATAGTCACTGTATATACACAAACTTACTCAGTTTAGGTTGTTTAATTCAATCAGATATAATGATAAGATTATTTTAAATTATCATTTAATACTCAGCAGTTGATATTACAGACATTTAAGATAACCATTAACAAAGTCTATTCCTCCAACAGTTGATAATAATAGTATTAATGCAAGCATCAAGAAAGACCCACAGTAGGTACATATACCTACTTAGTTTAAGTTGTTTTACAAAATCCCATTAATGTTAATTTAAGAATTATTATTCTTCAACACTACCATATTCTAAACAAGTGTAATTCAGATACATACTCATGATATAGAATTATACATGTTCCAATTATAACATTCGTCTCAAAAGATTTCAGAATCAAACACAGTGTACTCACAGAATTTAACACTATGGAACTACCTATTTAAATCCTTACTGTCCAAGCTTTTCTACGAAAGTAGACTTAGTTAACACCACCTCTGAAGCTTTAATTTATCTCTATACATTACTTAGACCTTCCATATTCAATTCTGCACTCAATTGAAAACTCCAAAATCAACCATTGCATGCAAAACTGACTGGAAACGAAGAAAAACACAAAAACTGAGCAAGGAGACGTCTCCAAAAATTGGAGCCGCCTCCTTTAAACCTTGGAGTCGCCTCCACACTAAGGGGAGCCGGCTCCCTCCCTCTCTGCTTTATCGTTTCCTCCTCCGATGAACTCTGCAGCCTCTACACCTCACTGTTATGACTTCCAAATCCTGTAACCTAACCCTAGTGTGTTCCCAGTCCATGTTTAAGTCCTTATACCATTGTTAATCATGAATTTAAATCAAGAATTATGCACACAACTATCAAGTTTTACAAGTTTAACAACCATGCAACACATACTGGTGTGTATCAAACTTTAGCACGAATAGAGAAACTTTTTAAGTTACAATTAATCCTGGAACAGTTTAGGAATGCAAAGAACACGAAGCCTAAGGGAGAGAGTAAGGATAAAACTTGCCTTTGAGATCTTTGTTCAAAATCTTTACGCCGTCTTCTAAGACCTCCGGCAAACACAATTGTTGTAAACCTCCTCTGTTTCTCTCTCTGCTACTTCCACATACGTGTGTTGGTTTTCTTTTCTTTGTATTTTTTATTTGTATGTAAAGCCCTAGGTAGCCTTATTACGTCTATTTATAAGGTTACACAAAACCTAAAGCTCACTAAAGCCCTAATGTGACCTAATCGGCCCATAACACCATCTAAGTGAATAAGCATGTCTGCTACTTACCACCAATCCTATAGTAACGTGAATTTAGAAAAACAAGTAACTTTAATTTATTTTAATTACCAATTAACCAAAAACTAAATAAAACAATTAACAAAGAATTAAAGAACACAATTAAGCAAATAAAATTAAACTAAGTAAAACAATTAAATAATTAAGTCAATAAACAGGTCAACCAAACAACTAATTACAATTAAACAAATTAAAACATTAAATAAAATAATTAATGAAAAAAAAAATAATTAATCAAAATACCGTATCCTTTTGAAAATTAGGGGTATTACACCATTTAATTATCTGGGCTAGGCTAATTAAATAATTTAAGTGGACTAAGTTTGGGCTAATTAAATAATTTAATTAAACATCAAATCCATATTTGATGCATTACTTTGTCAAAACCAAAGTCCATTTTAAATTTTAGTATCTACATTTTGTTATGACCATACAATAATAATAATAATAGAAAAGAGTATCGGCAAGACCCATAAACAGTTCCGGCGAGCTTGATTAAAAGACTGAACAACTCCGGTGTGATTTATTTAAGGGTAACAAAAGCTCCAGTGGCTAGCTAAAGTAGATAAGCCAACAAGCTCTATTTGATTCAATCGATACAAACTTCAGCGAGCTACAAAGACCAAGATGTTCCGACGACACTTTCCTTCATTAAATCGGTGAGACACAACCGGAAGTTAAGAGTGTTTGGTGTTCGTTGTTTCTTATCCCAGAGTAGTGTACGTTTGGTTGTTTGGTATAGACAAAGTGGATTTGCTTTATTCTAGTCCCAAACAAACTCCTTTGGTGAGGACAAAATGACTTGCATTTTTAGCTATTAATTTATTCTAATTACATGAGGGTATTACAATCATTTTAAGTCACAAGGGGTATTTGCACCAAATCGATAATATAAGAGAGTTTTTTTAGTACACGTGAACTATTTTGCACTATATCAATACTAGATAGAGATTTTTTACACTTAACCCAAATTATGATTGGGTTTTGTTGCTATCACATAAATAATTAAACAATGCTGCCAATCATTTCGAAAATGAATTATAAAACCACAAAGATTATATAACTTTTCCACTTCTACTTTTTTTTTTTTGAGAACAAAACAGATTTCTTGAGTCTCCTGCGCACTTAGAGATTAAATTAAAGTTGTGCTAGATATTCTTCAAATTAAATTATTCTCTGTGCACAAGAGACGCAGATGGAGAATTTGAAGCTGCAGAAGTTGTGGTGGTCTTTGAGGAAATATTGCTGTGACTACTATAGCTTGAAGACTTGATTTGGCTGCTCTTGGAAGAAGTACCATCATATATATTTGTTGGAAGAGCCAAAGATGTTGGGTCTATCAGAACGGGCAATGGTGATTCGAAACTAAGGACATGAGCTGCTTGCCTTATTGATGGCCGGAGATTGGGATCTCGGTGAGCACACCAAAGCCCAACAATCATCAAGCATTCCATTTCTTGCTCGTCAAAATCTCCACCTAGTTTCTGGTCCGCTGCTTCAAGAAGCCTTCCCCTTCCATAAAGGTCCCACATCCAATTCACCAAGACTTTTTGAGTCTCATCGGAGTTGGGATCAATAGATTTTCTTCCACATGCTATTTCCAAAACAACTATCCCGAAGCTGTAGATATCTGTTTCCTTGCTGGCCTTCCACGTAGTAAAGTATTCAGGAGCCATGTAACCTATAGTCCCTGCAACATCTGTTGTCGAAGGTCCTTTTCCGTGGTCAATAAGCCTAGCTAACCCAAAATCCCCAAGTTTGGCATTGAAATCTGAATCTAACATAACATTGCTTGATTTTATATCCCTGTGCACCACCCATTGTTCCCATTCTTCGTGTAAATAGAGCAATGCCGAAGCTATGTCTTGCGCAATTCTGTACCTTACTTCCCATGATAACAAGCTTCTTTCTTTGAAGAGGTGGGAATCTAAGCTGCCATTTTGCATGACCTCATAAACAATTAGTAGCTCACTCTGTTCATGACACCAACCAATGAGTCGAACTAAATTCCTATGCCTCAATTGACCAATAATCTTTACTTCTGCTGCATATTCCTTTAGCCCTTGTTTAGACCCCTTTGATATTCTTTTGACAGCAACATAGGACTTCAATTCTCCCAAAAAACCTCTATACACCCCACCAAACCCTCCTTCTCCAAGCTTTTCAGCCTCTGCGAAGTAATTCGTAGCACGAGCCAATTCATTGTACGAAAACTTCCGAGGTCCCATACCCTTTCCAAATTCTTCTTCCAAGGACGGATCAACGATGAGATCTTCTCGTTGTCCGATAGACGAATCAACGATGACATCTTCTCGTCTTTCCCCTCTACTTTTCCTCTTCCACAAGACAATGCCAACCAAAGCCAGCACAACCACCAAAACACATGAGCCAACGCTCAACCCCACCACTAGTCCTGTCTTGCTTTCCTCTTTCCCATCACCAATATTTAGTGAAGTCGAGTTGAACTCCCACGATTTGATACTATTTTTTTCAAAGAGGTTTGACGTTGAGGCTGAGAAGCCAAAAGTAACCCATTCTGGTAAGATATCTCTAAGATCAACTACACAACCAAGGTCATGCTTTTCGATTGTGGAATTTTCTCCAACAAGTGTGAACACGACACTAAGATTTTGTGAGCTAGAATCGTAGCTAATCCAAGCATCATTTGTTGTCCCATTATTGAAAATATCATACCATGGCTTATGTGTAACAGAACTTGAAGAGTTGATATTGATACCTACGTGGTTGAAAGGATAGCCAGCTTCCCACTGATCGTCCCTGTAAGTATCAAACTCCACTGCAACAAAAGCATTCGCCTCTTCATTGTTGGTGAGACCAAGGCGACCACCCAATGCATTATCGGGGATATTTGAGCCGTTGGGAGCAAGGAAGAAGGCCAGCCCGAAGCCAATAGAGTCTGTGAGCGAGCTTCGAGCTATGAGGAATGAGAAATGGGTATTGAAGTCCGCCAGTTGTCCTGTATCCCTGTCCCAAAGGTGCAGGGGTTCGACATACGTGGCTCGACCACCTTTCCAGGTTAACGACGACGCATTCTGATAGTCATCTGGATCTGGGGTGACTTGGATGCCTTGTTCTGAAATATAAGCGTCTCCTGTGATGTGTATGGAGCTGTTGTTATCATTGGTAATATTTGGGAGGTTGAAGTACAGTGGAGATGCAAAAGGGATCAGAAGAAAGAAGAAAAAGGTGATCATGTATGGAGAGAGAACAGAATAGGTTAGGTGCATGATTTGAGGAGGGTATGTAATGTAAATGTATACACAGAAGTTGCAGAGAAGTCAGAGAACCAATTGTTAATGAAAGAAATTATGTATTTGGAAGATTGCAGTGTATCATATTCTAAAAGGAGTATTATGGTAATTGCCCATACAATAGTCACTGTCCCTTGTACCAAAGTTCTATGTTGATTTTTATTATATAATTAAAAAAATTGAATTGTTGACTAGCCAAGTCAATTGTGGATCATCAACTTGCTCATATAACAATTGTATCATTTTGTATTAGCACTAAATGGTCATTCAAAATATTGCAAACCATAGCATACAACACAGTTTTGATTTGGCTAATTGAACTTAATTTGTGCAAGAAACAAATTGGGCTTGACCAAGGAAAAGTGGGAACGTGGTTGTTGGACCACGGTGGCCATCATAATCCAGAGTCTAATTTAACTATGCCGTAGTCAATTTTGCTCAGTCTATCTCTTCATCTAGAACCTAGCTATCAGATAGGTCAGATCTTGTTACTCGCGCAATGGTTAACACGTATGTAGCTGCTGACCAATGAAGCAGTCTATGCATGCCACAAAGGAGAACTCAAGAGGGCTTTAAAACACCGCAATTGGTAATACAATCTTAAATTTGATATTCTTTAGGTCAACTTATGGCGTATGCTAAAGTGATTTAGATGGAATTTTATTTATTTAAATCTTTTTTATTGATGATTTTAATTCTCAATTTCATGTGTTTTTTGCGAGTGAGAAAGTACCGATAATGATCTTGTATTACTTTTCTAACGCCTATTTGACACCCTCCTAATAGCAATGTATTTTTATATTCTTTTTATTGGAAAAATGGAACAGGAGGACTTTTCAGGGTCACCTAAACAAAAACTACTCTTGCCCAAAAGCAAAAGTGAATTAAAATAGATTCAAAAAAATAAAAAAGGAAAGTCAAAATATAATAAAGCAAAGACAATTTGGTAAAATAACACCTGTCAATAGCAATGTAGAGTTTCGAGTGGCTTGATATATTTCTCTTTTTCCCAGTCAACCCTCCTCTAAGCTTATCTTTTATCCGCTGAGCTATTTATTGCACGAGGGAATTAAATTCATGGAAGCTTCTAAGGTCCTCAGGCATTTTCAAAATTGGCGTCCAGACACATCAAAGACAAACTACTCTTCTTTCATTTTTCTTTTATTTTATTTTATTTTATTTTTTTATTATTATTATTTTTTTAAATTAAAACAATTACATACTCTATTTTCACCCAAGTTCGAACCCCAACTTTTTTTTTAAAAGAGAATAGATAATATCGTTGAACTAATTAATCCTTTATACATTTTCCTTTTATTCCAATCCATAAAGGTATAAAATCTCATTGGTTGTCCGGTCTTGACTACCTTAATTTGATCCTTTTGATGACAGACTATATTGGTTCTGGAATTTTTAGGCCTGAATTATTGATTTTAACATTGCCTTTTTTTAAGTCACTTCCTCTCTCAGCCTAAAGAAACGCATTTTAGAGACATCAAACTTCTAGTTTAAGGCGGAGTGAATCCGTCAACGGAGAAATATTAGGTACTTTTAGTGACGGGTCAAAATTTTTTTTTTGAGGAAGAGATCAATTTCTCACATTTTAGGTGTGAGACTAATTCATCTTAGAGTATATTAAACATCTCACAAGTTTCGTGTACCTAACAAGTTAAGAGCTCAGCCTAACTACAAATTAACCAGTTTGAATACTCTAGGTAAATTGTTTACCCACAATTTCGAATCTGACACCTAAAATAAAATAAAAAATTGAAAATAATATTTTTTTGAACAACATAATAAAATTAAGAATATAATTTATATATTTGTTTATCACAATTATAATTATTGTTAAAAAAAAAAAAAAAAAAAAATCAATTGTGTATATTCTAATGTATCTCTGTGAATACTGTTATTATTTTTTTAGCAAGTCAAATTAGTTATGATATAACAAATTTATAAAAGTCTCACTTATAATAATTAAAAATTAATGAATGAAACTTGTTTTGTATTAGAAAATTGAATAATTTTCAATTAAGTTCTTGGGATGAAAAATTAATTGTTAATTAGATTAAACCAAATAAATAAGAGAATTTTGCGCTTTACAACATGGCTCTTCACATTTTTATAACAGGTGTGTATTAATAATTTCCGTATATCAAATACAATAAAAGAGAAATAAAAAAATATTTTTATTTAATTTTTTATTTTTGTTTTGTGCTTATGAGGATTACAATTTTTATTAAAGAAAAAATAACTAAAAGAAAGCCATGTAGCATAGAAAAACTAGATATTAAAGATTTAAGGGTAATTTACACAGACTTCTCATATGGTTTGCCCTAATTACAGGATCACTCTTATTGTTTTGGAAATTATGCAGACCTTTTTTAATTTAAAAAATATCCTACACGGACCTCCCTTATGTGTAACAAACCGTTAAATACACTAACGGACCTTGCTAATTTACTGAAATGCCCTTAATTTTCTATGATAAATTACTGAAGTACCCTATAGAGAGAGAGAGAAACAAAAAAAATTAAATCTTAAAACTATTTGGGCCTCCACCACCAAGGGTGCCACCACAACCACCACCACCAACATCTGTATTTTCCTCCATCTTTGTGTGTGTGTGTGTGTATATATATATATTTATTTATCATGCGATATATTTGTTCTTCTTATACTTGTTGGATTAAGAAACTTTAGAGATAAAAGGAGAAAATAAAGTTCCCTTGCTCTAAAAAAGAAAAAGAGAAAAGGAAACATAAAACCAATAACGCAATTTTTTCACCCTTTTCCGTCTCTTCATCTCATTGTGTGATTTTTCTGGTAAGGTTTATAGTTTCAGAGCAACCAAAAACGAGAAGGAAAAAAATAGTATCAGAGATTAAATATTTGGATAAAAATAAAAATGTAAAAGATTATTAAAAACAGGATCAGCTAGGAAAAAAGAACTGTGATTCGCCGGTAGGTGGAGGTTGGTGACGGCAACGACGGTTCATGAATTGGGTTTTCTGGAATAGGACTCGTGAATCGATTACTCAAAGCATCCAAAACTTGGAGCCCGGATAGTGATGACAATGAATTAGGCAAGGGACCCTCTAGTGTGTTGTTGCTGAAAATTTAAGCTTTTTCGGCGATTCTTGCTTCTTCGGCTTAGAAATTGTACAATCCTTAAAAAATATATATCAGATCAATTCTTAAATTAATTTAAGAAAATTAATATAAAACAAAACAAAAAAACAACACACTGGAATTTTCATGACCAGGTTCTATCCCACCGATCAAACCCAATCGCAACTTTGATTTCCAAAATAAAAACCAAATCACACCGATCAAACCCAATCGCAAATTTGATTTCCAAAATAAAAACCAAATCACACAGATCAAACCCAATCGCAAATGTCATACCCACTCACCCAATTGTTCATAGCCATCATTCCTTTTGCAGGAATTGGATTTTTCATGACCAGGTTCATGAATTGGGTTTCGTGATGATGTTCGAGGAGAAGAGTTTTTCAAAGAAAATCTCTATGTAACCACGGTGCTTGATACGAGAACAAAGAATCCGAAGAGACGGTCTTCTTTCTTGATGGTCCTTCCTTATCGGTAAGCCAGGAAGCACTGCCGGCTCTTGGTTGCCTTAGAATATAATACCAAGTATTATATATATATATATATATATATATATATATATATATCTTTTACCTTAATTAAATATGAAATTATATATGGACAAGGGTATTATGGGGATTTTAGTAAAAATTGTAGATGACGTCATCAATTTTCGTCGTTGACTCTAACAGAAGGGAGGTCTGTGTAAGATATTTTCAAAAGTAAGAGAGATCCAAGTAATTTTCAAAATAGTAAGGATGGTCCTTATAATTAGGGTAAACCATAGGAGAGGTCTGTGTAAATTACCCAAAATTTAAAGTATTAAGTGTATGACAATTTTAGAATTTTAAATTTTTGTATGTACAAAATAAAAAAATGAAAAAAATTTAGAGGGTAGTTTTAGAATTTAATTTTTTTTAGGACGAATTGCAAAAAAATCCCCTTCGACTTTCACCCGTTTGCAAAAAACATCCCTTATAAATATCTTTAACAATTAACCCCCCTCAATTATCATGGGTCATTTTAACTGACCTATGTTAGAGTGATTGTGTGAGGAAAATTTTATGACAAAATTACTCTTAACATGAAACATATGTTTGAGTGATTGGGTGATAAAATTTTTGGACGAAATTACCCTTAAAACTAAAGTACCCACTACTCATTATTATTATTATTATTTAGGTAAAACACTAAAATGAAGCCTTTGATTTTGAAACGAGACCTTTGATTTTTCTTTCGAAATGTTCTTGTATTTGGAATATAAAAAAACTTTTACCATGATTTTTTTAAAAATAAGATAAAGAAAGAGATATATATACGAGAGATCCAAAAATATCAGTACATTGATTTTTTATAAAATTTAAAAGTAAAAATTTATCAAACTATGTGGCAAAATCATCTAATCATTAGGAGGAAGTATCTTTTTTCATTTATATATCTATATATATATGTGTGTGTGTGTACTATGTAACATATCACAATTTAATAGAAAAGTATTGGGATTAAGATTTATGATGTTGAATAATCCAAACAAATATTTGTTATTTAAGTGAAATATCTTTTGACAATAAAAAAATAAAAAAACAAGTGTGAAATATGTTTTTTTGGAGGGGGCTTATAGATTTCTACTTTTAAATTTTATAAAAAATCATGATACTGATATTTTTGGATCTCATATATATATATATCTCTTTATTTATCTTATTTTATAAAAAAATCATGGTACAAATTTTTTTTTTTTTTTTATTTTTTTTTTTTTCACCAAAATCAATTTAAGTTGACATTTGATAAATAACTACCATATTATTATATATATTCCAAATGCAAAAACATTTCAAAAAAAAAAAAAAATCAAAGGCCTCATTTCAAAATTAGAGGCCTTGTTTTAGTGTTTTATGTAGTTAAATAAAAAATAAATAAAAAAAAGGTGGGTGGTGGGTACTTTAGTAATACTAATGTATTGTTTTGATTCTAAGAGTAATTTGTTCTAAAAAAATTTTCACACAATTATTTTAACAAAAGTTAGTTAAAATGACCTCTCATGATAGTTGAACGGCATTAATTGCTAAATATATTTATAAAATGTGTTTTTTTTTACAAACATGTGAAAGTCCAGAGATTTTTTTACAATTCGCCCTTTTTTTTTTTTTTTTTTTTTTTTTTTTTTTTTTATATATATATACAAAAAGCAAATATAAAAAATTTGAGGTTCCGTTGGTTCGTCATCGGAAAGCAATAAGACGTCAGATACAACATGCCCTCCGGCCCGTGTGGGTCGGAAAACTGCTCGTCTGACCAGAAATTCGCCGTGAAGTTCGCGTCGCAGAATAGTCCTAAAAAATCTCATTCGGTTTCTTGACGAGATGATCTCTCACTCCAAACCCCTGCAACGGTTAGAAAGTAATCTCTCCCTAGATTCTCTTTATACATATAAATTTGTTTTGACTTTATAAGTATCTGCAATTGTTTAATGATCTTGGGTTTTCATTTTTTTAATTTTATTTTATAGAGGTTCCAGATCCTGATATTGAAAAATTTTCTAATGATTCAATTGACCGTGTTAGACCAATATATTTAAAGCTACCTTTGGTGGCATGAAATTAGTGCTTTAGAATTGGAATTGAAGAAAAAGTTAATCAAACCTTAAATTTTTTTTTTTTCTTCAATTTCAATGGCAAGGCACTAATTCCATGTCACCGATCATAGCATAAGTTTCTTTGTCGACACCTTTTTTTTTCCTTAGTTTTCACTCACACACGACTCAAACCCCTAACCGTAGATATGCTTAGGAAAGGTAGTTCATTCACACAGTAGTTAAAGTAGGTAGATTAGGTAGGTGAATAGTCCACGCCAACCGTAGATAGGTTATAGTTAGCTAAATTTGTAGAACATCTTTCTTTAAATTCCGAACTGAACGAATGTTGTTGAGTTCAGTTCATTTGAAAACAAAATAAGTTAAAATCCCAGAGTTGATTCAATTGACCATAGTATAACGATTATGGCGAAGTCAGAGCCCTAAGATTTTCCCTCTCTGATCATTTAATTTAGTTTAATTTGCTTTAGTTAATATTTCATTTAATTCAAGTTTTTTAAATCGTGACAACCAACAAACTCAATAATCAAGTTTTCTGTAAATCATGCAACTAATTTAAAGGCTAATACCAAATCACATCTCTCTATGGGTTCGACATCCTCTTTGCATAGAGTTATATCCTACACGATATCATGCGATTGTGAGAGACACATTAGTCATATAGCAATGTAAACGACTCCCCAAACAATCCTAGGTAGGCCTCTACCCGTCGTTCTAATAGTTTTCGAACCATTGCTCTGATACCAAATTTGTAACGACCCTAAACTAATACTACCAATTAATAAAATAAAAAATAAAAAATAAAAAAAATTCGGCATGACCTATGCTAAAAAAGGTCCTACATCAACCTGCTTAAATGCATAAAAATGCATAGGGCCTCTCTTGGACCTTCAAAATTTACCTAACCTGTCCCAACATAATGCAAATAATACATTTCTTTCATCTATTCATTATATTTCAACATAGTTCAGTTTATGGTGGAACAACTACATGTTATTTAATCCAAATATCATAATTACAATCCCAAAAATATAATTAAGATCAAACGTCCATGTCTTACAACGTTTAGACAACTTATAATAAAATTACAGCCCATGAATATAACTACAATAGCAAGAGTCCATAAGTCTCAGTACAGAATACAATATACTAGTTTTACAAAAATAGTGGGACTTAGATACAAAAATAACAAAATGATCATCTAATCCATGCTAGACCTGTGGTGGAATGTCATTCGTCACTTCATTCCCGTTTCCTGAAAAAATGTAAAAATGAAGGGGTGAGCATAAGCTTAGTAGGAGGTGCCTAAGGCACACCTCTTGAGACCCCGTGAATCCACACAATGAATAGGGATAAGGAAATTGGGATCATACCATACCGGGAGTAAAAATATAATTACGATACTACATTATTAATCCAATACCACAAATAAATATGCCATGCAATGAGATGCTGTGTCATGCAATGTCACTCCCCATTTTCCAAAACCATTTCCATTGTCATTTCCAAATCATTAGTGAACCCATCCCATGGCAACTCCATGGTGGCACGAGAGGAGGATTGGTCATTGTCCCTGACCCATGGCAACTCCATGGCGTCATTTTGGGTCCAGGTAACTCAACCACACTAGGGCGATCTCCCTAATCCCCTCTAGGCCTCACTAACGCCGCGATCCCTAAGCAACTTTTAGGCGGTCGGGTTATTTACAAAATCCTTTTCAAAATTCTTTCCCAAAATCCATTTCATTTTTTTCAAATCAAATTTTCCCATTTCTTTTCCAATGAAGTGCATAAATGCTTCATGTCTTTTATGTCATATCAATATTTATCATCACACACCAATTTTAAGATTTAACTATTTAGCATGCTTCACAAGAATTTCCAAAGAAATAACATACTTCCTTCAACAAAATTATAGCATGGTGAGCAAGTAAGACATGGAATTAAATTCATATAAGCATGTTATTTCATGTAACACCAATTAAAAAAACATAGACACATATCTCATTACAACAATATGATCATTTTAAGGGAAAACTAACACAATTTAACATACTCGATAACAAATCAAGTAAGATGATTCACAAAGGAATAAGAAAAAAAGAATTAGGAACCCCTACCTCCAAAATTATGAAAATCCCCAATTCCTAGATTCGAAAATTCAAGGAGGCACCAAAGCTGAAATTGCTTACATCTATGTGAAGATCTCATCACGCTCTTCGTTTTGCCGCAAACGGCACCCAAAAATTCCAAGGGATGAAAGAGAAATCAATATTTGAAGTTGTAAAAGAAAAAAGAAAGAAAAGAAATTCAGTTAGAGAAAGAACTGGCGGTGAGAAAATGAGAACTCTGCCGAAGGTAATGGCTATAAAGCCTTTACAATTGATATAATATCATGTGGATCCCGGTCAAACGAGGTATACTAGTTATAATAGAAGGTAAGAGATGGATAGGGAGACTAAACATAACATGGGATGAGGTTATTAAAAATGACTGCAAAAATAAAAAAATCCTCTTAACACACATACACACACATATATATAAGAAAAACTCAAACATTACATATCATATGGTTGGAAATATATATATATATATATATATATTTCCAACCATTACATATCATATGGTTGGAAATATATATATATATATATATATATATATATATATATCTCATATGGTTGGAAATATAAACAGCTCATTGTATTTGCTGTCAAAAATTTCACTTGCAAGAAAGAGGTGTGGAATAGATTTTTGTTTCCAATAACAACCGCAAATAGTTACTGCAGTCATCACCACACTTCATTTACTCAAATTGCACACCACAAATGAACTAAAAAATTTAGCATGATTTGTCTTATAAATTCATCAATTCCTTCCATTTAAATCCCATAAAATTTCTCAATATATGTTTACATCAATATGTATAAATGTGTGTGAAATTCCCATAATGCCCTTCACTTAAATGAGAAAATCAGGACAAGTTCCCAAACCTGGAAATTGTCCCGATTTTTCGAAAAAAATCAAAAATCAATCTCATCGCCTCTAAATGACTTAAAATAATTAAAAATATATTTCTAAAACCCTCGGCTCGAAAAATGACCGAAATGGCCCTCAGGCCCGCGTGGCATGCAAAACGAGGCGCGAAAAATAAATGAAATAAAATAAAATAAATAAAAATAAAAAATCCAAAAAATCCAGAACATTACATAAGGTGTGGAATTTAAACCTTCTTCATGTTCTTCTTGGTCTTCCAATGTTAATTTCAAAACCCCATTTTGTGTTTATACCTGACTATTCTTTCTCAACTTTACTTTCAGTTTATATGACTTGGTCTTCAATTCAGAATTGTGTAATCTACCCGTTGTTCTATCTCCGATTCAACACTATAGCATGCAGCCGATAATGGAGACAGATATATATAACGTGTGCAGTGAGGGATCTTTAAATTCTATTATAGGCAGCCAGTCTTTACTTAACTCGGGTGACTTTAGTCTTTAATAATACGAATGATAGCATGTAATAATTATGTAACAACTTTGGATTTATTTCAATAGGGTTGGGTGGAGCAGGTTAGCCGATTCATTCATCTACTGTCAACCGAACAGTATACTCATGGATTCTTAAATTTTGATTGAATCAAGTTAGACGAATTGCTGTGTCATATACAAGACAAACAATACATGTTGCAAAAAAGAAGAGGCAAATACTAATAATACAATGCAAGTTAAATTTGTATATCTGATTTACAGAATATATATATATATGTGTGTGTGTGTGTGTGCGCGTGTGTGTGTGTGACTTATTTGGATCATATCACTTGGAAACAACAATAGGACCATGCATGTGCCCTTTTATTTAAAATCCTGTTTACATAGCATTTGTGTTTACACTACAGTTTCATAGTTCAAACCATGCCAGAATTTGCTAAAAAAAATGACCTATAAGAGTTTGCGAGGAGATTGAAGGAAAATTGACTACTGCTAAAGAATGAAAGATAAAAATAATACAAGTGATCTTAATACACCCTGATATTCCTTAGATCAACTTACCTTGTATGCAGAAGTGATGTGGATGGAGAGGAAGATGCAGAAGCTCCGGTGTGATTTGTGGAATTGGTGTTGTAACTCTGGCTCGAATAATGGATTTGGCTACTCTCTGAGACATTGGCATTACCGGATAATGAAAGTAAAGATGTAGGTGTCATCACTGGAATAGGAGCCAAATAAGTTGGCACAGGCATCTTTGAAGGAAGGACGGGAAGCGGAGCTTCATAATGAAGCACCTGGATTACCTGTCTTATTGACGGTCTGAGAGTGTAATCAGGATGAGCACACCATAGCCCAACAATCAGCAAACTCGTCATCTCTTGCTCATCGAAATCTGCACTTAATTTGGGGTCTGCTACTTCAAGAAGCTTTCCGGTTCCATAGAGGTCCCAAACCCATTCCACCAGTCTTGATTGAGATTCTGGAACCCTGTGATCAATGGGTTTTCTTCCACATGCTATTTCCAATACAACAATTCCAAAGCTGTAGATGTCTGATTCCTTACTAGCCTTGCTTGTAATGAAGCATTCGGGAGCCATGTAGCCCAATGTCCCCGCCAACATTGTTGTTTCCAATCCTTTTTCATGGTCAACAAGCCTAGCTAGCCCGAAGTCTCCAAGTTTGGTATTGAAATTTGAATCCAACATAATGTTGCTTGATTTGATATCCCTATGGAGCACACATTGTTCCCACTCTTCTTGCAGATAAAGCAAAGCTGAGGCCAAGCCTTGGACAATTTTGTACCTCATCGCCCATGTCAATAAGCTTTTTCCTTTGAAAAGATGAGTATCTAAGCTCCCATTTGGCATTAACTCGTAAACAAGTAACATCTCATTTTTTTCATGGCACCAACCAACGAGTTGCACCAAGTTCTTATGCCTTAATTTACCAATGATCTTAATTTCTGATGCATACTCCTTTAGCCCTTGCTTGGAACCCCTTGACACCCTCTTCACAGCAACGTAAGAGGCCAATTCGCTCGAAAAACCTCTATAAACCCCACCAAACCCTCCCTCTCCAAGCTTCTCTTCCTCAGAAAAGTTATTGGTAAAATGAGCCAACTCACGATAGGAAAACTTCTTTGGTCCAATACCCTTCTCGAATTCATCCTCCATGGATGGATCAAAGACATCTTCTTCTTTTCCTCTACTCCTCTTCCACCAGCAAATGGCAATCAAACCCAATCCACCAACCAAAACACATGAGCCAACACCTAGTCCCACCACTAATGCTGTTTTGTTTTGCTTCCTTCCTTTGGGCTTGGGGCCTGGACTAGGGCTCGGTGTCACCGGTGCTGGCTCTGTTGAACTGAAACTCCACGATTTAATGGTATGTTTCTCGAAAAGCCCTCCGGTTGAGGCTGAGAACCCAAAAGCAACCGATTCCGGCAAGCCGGCACCCCCCAAATCAACAATGTAACCAAGGTTATCTTGTCGGACTCTTGCATTATTTACAATACTAGTGAAGCCAACGCTCAAAGTTTTCAAGTTAGAATTATAACTAATCCAAGCTTCATTTTCTCCCCCTTGAGTAATATTTCCATACCATATTGAAGTGTCAACAGATTGCAAAGAGTTAACGTTGATACCTACATGAATGTCGGACTGGGTGTACGGGTCCCAATCATTCTTATAAGTGTCAAACTCCACAGCAACGAATGGAGTAATTGCATTAATTGTGCCAGGGTCGATTGGAAGACCAAGAGCACCACCTTTTGTGCTGAGGATTTTACTGTAATCAGAAGCACTGGGGAGAAGGAAGAAAGCAAACCCATCGCCGTGATCTTGTCTTCCTGCTGAATCAATGACAAAGGAGAAATTGCTGTTGAAGTCAGCCAGGTTTCCAGCACTGTCCCTGAGGTGCAGAAGTTCGTGATAAATGGCTCGGCCAACTGTCTGCACGCTGCTGCCCTCCTCCGGGGTAAGTTGGATGCCTTGGTCTGTGATATTAGCTGTTCCATCAGTCATTATTTTGACATTTTCAAGATCTTGTGTAATAGTAGGGAAGCTGAAGTCTAGTGGAGTTGCATTAGGAACTATAAGAAATAAGAAAAAGAAGATCATGAATGAAAAATTGAGAAACTTAGGTAATTGGAGATGGGTCGAAGAGTTGCAAGCATCCATATATAATTGGTTGTGATTGCAGGGATGTTGAATTCTAATGGTGTTGCAAGAGGGATGATGAGAAGAAAGAAAAAGGTGATCATGAAGAAAATATAGAGAAGTGTCGAAGAGTTGTTGCAGGCAACCATATTTAATTGGAAGGGATTGAATGATTAATATATAGATAAAATATTGTTGCAGAGTCGAGAGATAGATTTGTTGAATAAGTCTTCATTTGAATGCTTTTTAGTTGAAGATTGTTGATGACTGCAAGTTTTGTTGTTTTAAGAAGAAATATAAGCAATATCACTTGAACCGGCATTGTTTAATTTAAATTAATAAGAAGATTTATACAAATGTCAACATTTGTGGGCGATCACATAAAAACAGGACTCAAAATGAAATTTACTAGTCAGCCCTTTGGTGCTTTCACATACAGTTGAAGTTGGTTTCTATGATATAAAAAACGCGTCCAAGACCAAGTACATTTAATTTCTCTCAATTTTTGGTGCTTTCATATGGCAAATGGGCTGGTTTTCAACGGGTCGTAAATGGGTCAATAACTCGGGCGGCAAATGAATGGATTTATATCAGATCATAAACGATTCAGCTGGTAACGGGCCATTAACTGTTAATGACCAAATTGAGACGCTTATAAACGGATCGGGTAATAAGTGAGTGTGCCAAACCGGGCATTTTAAAATAAAATAATTTATACACAAATGATTTGTTTGTTAAAAAACGGATTAATTAATATCAAACTTTATAATCAAAATTTGAAAAATTGTACATCATGCCTTGATTAGCATAATTTGGATAGAAACTTCTGCAAACTTTAATTTAGTTTTAAGGTGATAATTTTTCAACTGGAAATCTGATTTCAAATTAGAGGCATTGGACGACAGTTAATCTAATAGAATCGAAAATAGTGTATAATTAATTAAGATTGAATTTTGTTGAGTAATAATGAGTTAATAGATTTAAATTGAGTACAGTTAACTAACCCATATAAACGGATTACAACACGCCAGAGTCATGTATTAATTAAAAATCTAAAATCTAAAATCTAAAATCTAAAATGCTCTCAAGTACACTAACGGCTGGTTTAACGGATTTCTTCCGTTGTCTTGTTCTTTCTCCTTGTCTAATTGTAATTGCTTCTCTTCTATTGTGAGCACAATTTCTCACCTTTATTTTCGTCTGATGCTAAATAAATATGGACTCTACTCTTTAACTTCAGCCCTAGTTAGGTAATTTGCTTAGGGTTCATTCGCGGCCTCCGCTGCACTTCCACTCTCTACCTCAAACTAGCCATAATGGCACGGATTAAATCAGATCAGAGACTCGGATGAAGCTGCAGTTCCTATATTTGAGTTGAGAGTGAAAGTTTCTCTAGTGTTGGTTTTGGTGAGGGGTGATATGTCATTTCACATTTTACACAACATGTTAGCAATGACATAAATTTGGGAGTTGAATAAAAGTTAAGGTGTCATAACAAATGAAACCAAATTTGATGAGTATGTGATAGTAATTTTGACTGAGGTTTAATCAGTGAGTAATGAAACCAAACCTAAGGAGCTGGCGGATCAATTAAACCTGGTTTAAATCATGCAAGAACTTTTTAAACAATTTCATAACCACAAGTCTTTGTTTATCTTTGCTTCAGCTAAACAATTTCATAACCACAAAAAAAATTTCTTTATTTTTTCTTGAAGGCGTAGAGAACAGAACATTCATTTCCACACGCCATATTAGTCATAAGACTGAATTTCTACATTTTCTGAAAAAGATTGATAACAAACCACATACCTACCAAAAATATTGTATACATATACATGCAAAGGGAAGTTGTGTTGCGGAAAGAATAGGCAAATGCCTACCCGGGGGGTAGCCGAATCTTTGTCTTTAATACCAATTGTAACGAGCGGGGTGTTTCGCGATTTGATCCAAAAACTTAAACTATTAGGTAGGGTTAACACCCAACCTATCCATTTCACTATCTATCCAGATTCGATGCGGAACAAACCTGTAACACCTAGCTAGCCCCAAATTCCCAACTTTGACATTGAAATTTGAATCCAACATAATAGCGTTGCCTGATTTAATATCTCTATGAAACACACATTGTTAAGGGATCATAATCCAAAGTCTAATTACACCATGACTATCTAGCAAATTCTGGTTGGTTATCTCTTGATCTAGAGCCTATCAGATGGGGTATCATAAAGTTTCTCACTTAATGGTTAACGTATATATTTATTTTTTAATTTTTTGAAGCACCCATTAATCTGGTGAAAAGCTTTTGTTTTCAAATATATATATATATATATATATATATATATATATATATATATATATTTGTTGCATCCTAGCTCCTAATTGCCTCGACCATTTTAATCTACTACCCTACAAGTACTCATCCCGCAGATGGCCCTCCAAAGCTGCCGTTTTCTCCTCAAGATCTTTTATTATTCTTTCTGACCCCCTTTGCAATTCCTGTTAGGATTTATATGCCCTAACATAACAAATTCCTATCTGGATTATAGTGACATATGTTCTCTGAAATATTTACGCTTTATACAATTGACGAATTCAATGTATTATATTTCGATTCATTATAGAATTGAAAGTGTCTATTTAATTACAAGAGATATTTACATATGCATGTGATATCGATCAATACATGATTATAAATAGTAATCATAAATTGTTCATAGTCGGTAATTATGGATGGACTCATAATTAATTAAGACTTAAACTGAATCCGCGTTAGGTTGAGATATATTGCGAGAGTCGTCGTATGCAATTGCTTCCTATCACTGTCATGGCATTTGACTCTTAAGTATGAGAAAAATATAAACTCTTTTATTAATTAATAATTACTTTGATTTGTTCGGCAAATACTTCGGGATCCTTAGACCGACACTTTGGGTAGTTATGTAATTAATAGTTAGAGGGTTATATTTTCAATATTTGTATCATTGCTACTTGTATTTATTTTGTATTGATTATGGTTGATCACAAAGTAAATTCGAAAGCCTTCGTGTGTTTTTAGATAAAATGATTTATTATATATTTATTTATTTAAATTATTATTTTTGTCAAACAAATGTTTTATTGTGATCGAGGCAGAAATAGTCAATGGTACCAAAATAAATATATTAATTAAGTAGTCGGATTGATGGTTTTATTTATCCGATAACTAATTATGCATAGAGGGGTCAAAGTGCAACATTGACTTGAAGGTTATTTATTATTTAATTGGAGTTCAATTAATTTCTTTTAGTGGAGTAGAAATTGATTTATCAATTAATTGAATTGGGTCCATGGACCGGGCCAATTATTAATTCATTGTAGCCAATAAAATAATAGGCCTAATGGATTCTCACTCATAGCCCAACTTGATATTGGAATCATATTAGATTTGAGACATGTGAATTAGAGATTGAGAAGGATTTGTTATTTTATTTTCTTTATCTTTATGTTGCCTATAAATATACATGGTTTATGTATATTTGTGGGGTGGTTTTCTATGAGAAAGAAAAAGGAATATATTTTCTCTCTCTAGAAAATTAGGGTTTATGTTCTCATCTAATGGAGGCTCCCACAAGCCTAGTTTTTCCAAGGTCATTCATGGAGGCTTATGAGTGATTTCTAAAGGCAAAACTATTACCAAGAAGATAGAGATCCAAGGAGAAGATATCTTGCTAAGGGATCTACAATAAGTGAGAACATTCACTTTAGAGGAAAGAATTAAAAGTTTACTGTAATACCCCGTAATTTTAAAGAATGTATTTAAATTAATTTTGTGTTAGGTTAATTAATTTTATTTATTTGTGCATACTACATTATTTTATTAAATTCATTTAATTGTGCATGTAAATTAATTGTGTATGTTAAAATAGTAAATTTATTCATTTAATTGTGCATGTATTATTTTAATTACTTTTATTTGTTGATTATGTTTAATTAAGCAATATTAGTTAATTAGAGTATTATATTTGTGTTATAAAGTATTATGATAATATAATATATTATTTTGTAATAACAATAATAATAATTATATTAGTTTAATAATAATAATAATAAGAATATAATAATAATAATAATAAAAGTTTATTAATAATAATATTAGTAATAATAATAATAATAGTTATAATAAATCAATGTAATGATGGAAAATTAAATACTAGGATAGAATTTCATTTACTATGGTAGAATGGTGGATCAAATATCTTGATTAAAGATAGCATTGTCTTAAAGCCATATAGGTAGGAATATGAGAAATGGGTGAGAAGTTATTATAAATTAGATATTTGTAATATTTATATTATATATTTTGTGTATAAATTAACTAGCTTGCCTTAGAAAAAATAAAAGGGAGTTAGAAGCAAAGTATAAATTCTAGAGAGCTATTTTATAAGAGTGAAAGGAAAAGAGAAAGAGAAAGAAGCTTGGACCGGTGTAGGCAATTTTACCCGACTACGCGCAGACCGGCGGATTTATTTTAAATCCAAAAAGGCAAGTTATTATCTACTTTTCCCCTTTGAATTAATAAATTAATTGTTTAGCTTATTTTTATGCATAGAGCCAAGGTTTGGAGGTTAATAAATTATTAATTTTATTTTATTAAATTAATGGAATTTTAATTATATAGGATGGTATATATTTATTTAATGTCCTATGAAATTAATAATGGCTAAAAATAATTAAATAAGACTTTAGGGATTTTTCTAGAATTTTCTAGATTTTTCCGGGCATTTTCTGCAATTTCCGGCGACCTTCCGGCGAGTTTTCCGGTCGCCGGCAGTGGGGGAGACGACCGGAGTGATCCGGTGCGACGCGGCACACCATAGGAGGGTGTA